AAAAAAAAAAAAAAAAAAAAAGTTTTTAAGTTCATATAATAAAATGTAGCCTAAAGCCAAATCTGAGATGTGAAGACCATATGTTAAATTTATATCAAATAATGAACAAGCAGTCACTTTTTTGTGGAAAATAGATTAAATTAAGAGACCCAAAGCAGTACTTAAATACATTCATAACATATGTTTAAAATAATAAATTGAATCTATCTTGTTAAGATCAGATCCCCTAACTCCACATACCAGATGCAATTTATGCTGATAATATTTAAAACAGTTTGCAATTCCTGAGCATCCCTGGCTGGTCCCTGGAAGATGATCCTTGGGAAAGCTCCACGGGTGGAGGCACGGCTGCCTAGAACCTGACATTCAGGGTGGGCACATCTGGCAGCCTGTTTGGGCCTGGGTAACAGAGGATTGACTACTGAAATGTATTGCCACCAATCGGCTTTCAAGTTTCTTGGTTTGCTGGTGTAAAACTGTTTATGTTGAGGCTACATTTGCAAACTCCTTATTAAGGGATTAAAATTACACTGATTTGCTTTGTTGTATTTGGAATGCAAAACTCAGATACATTTTTATTCAATTCTGGAAGCCCTAGGGGTTTCTCATAAGTAAGCTGCTTGTTAATTCCTTTTTTTGTACATAAACAAAATCCAAAATTGGAAAAATAAAAGAAAATAGAGAACTAAACTTTCTCTACTTTAAAGGCAATTTATGTAGTTTTATGAATTCTTTTCCCCTTTCCATTAATTATTTAACACATTTTATGAGACATGGGGATAATTGATCTGCTTTAAAATTAAAACTGAGAAAAAACACTTACGAGATCCAAATGATGATGTTTTTTCCCAATAATAATTCTGAGATACAATGGGATGCATTTGAGAGTGTGAACTTTACAATCAGACCTGGGTTTTAATTGGGATTTCTCAATTAACTATAAATTAATGATCCTTTTGCTGTTTCTGCTCTGTGAAATGGACATCACTCCCTTTGCAGTTGTTACAAAGGTAAAAGATAATATGAGTAAAGTGTCTGGCATATGAGAGAGAATTTGGTTTTGTTCTTTTGTAGAGACAGAATATTGCTGTGTTGCCCAGGCTGGAGTGCAGTGGCACCATCACAGCTCACTGCAGCTGTGACCTCTTGGGCTCAAGCAATCCTCCCACTTCAGCTTCCTGAGTAGCTGGCACTACAGGCATGTGACACACACCAGGCTGATTTTTTAATTTTTATTTTTATGTAGAGATGGGGTCTTGCATGTTGCCCAGGCTTGTCTCAAACTCCTGGCCTCAAGTAATCCTCCCGCTATTCAGCCTCCTGAGTGGCTGGAATTACAGGCATGAGCCACCATGCCTGTAAATTCTTTCCAGTGTGACTTTATTTCCCCCGCGCCTAACACCTTTATATGAATTAATTAATCGAATCCATATAATAGTCTATGAAGGTCTGTCTCAAGATCATCAATATGAACTTATAATTAAACACTAGAAAATTCACAAGGAAATAATCCACAACAAATTAGACTTTGCTTACACTACAAACAACACAGGATTAGACCCATAAGCACTTCAGATAATGAAATTACAAGATTCAGACTGTATGTTAAAAGTCATTGAAGTCATAAAACAAGGAATCAAAAAAGAAATAAACAAATGCTATTGGAAAATTAGGTATCATTTTTCAAAATTATTATTATAAACAGTGAATGGATTAAGCAGATGATTAGAAGAAGCAGAGAGGCTAGATGCAGTGGCTTAGCCACTCTTTCTCTCTTCAGGAGACAGGAGGCCCTGGGGAGAGTGGCTCCTCTCCACAAGAAGGTCATTCAGCCATCTCCACTGGCTTCTGAAGGTCTCAGCAGAAAGGGTAGCTCCTCTCTGCAGCTGGTCATTCTGTTTTCTGTCTTCTGCCCTCTGCCCTGCTCTGGCTGAGTCTAGGGCTTTTACAGACCCTCAACCTCCTGAATACTTGAGATTACAAGCACCCACCACCATGCCTGGCTCATTTTTGTATTTTTAGTGGAGACGGGGTTTCACCATGTTGGGCAGGCTAGTCTTAAACTCCTGACCTCAGGCGATCCACTCACCTTGGCCTCCCAAAGTGCTGGGATTACAGACATGAGCCACTGTACCCAGCCCATCTGTTGTTTACTGTCCATCCCATGGAAGCCCTATCTAGAAAAAAAAAAAGAATAGAAATAAACCGTTCACCAAGGATACCAGCCTGTAATCCCAGTACTTTGAAAGGCCAAGGCAGAAGGATCACTTGAGCCTGGGGGTTTGAGATCACTCTGGGCAATGTAGCAAGGCTTTGTTTCTACAAAAAATTTAAAAATTAGCTGGGTGTGGTGGTGTGTGCCTGTAGTTGCAGCTACTGGGAAGGCTGCAGTGGGAGGATCGCTGGAGCATGGGAGGTCAAGGCTGTGATGAGCAGTGATTGTGCCATGCCACTGCACTCCAGCCTGTGTTACAGAGTGAGACCTTGCCTGTCTCTTAAAAAAGAAAAGAACTCACTGAGGACAGAGATGGATACTAGAAGATAAATCTGACAAAATTATCTAAAATGTAGCATAGAAAGATACAGAGATGAAAAGTGTGTGAAAGAGGTGAAGAGGCATGTTGGATAGCATAAGATAGTCCAATATATATCTGAAAAAGTTTTAGCAGGAGAGAATAGAAAGAGGATGAGTGAAGAAAATGTGTATTTACAAAATGTTTCAGCTGTTTAGAAGCACCTAATGTGTGTCGGGCACTATTCTAGGCTCTTAGAAGAGATAAGGAGATAAGAAGAAGAGATCAGGGCTCATCTTCTTCCAGAACTGACATTGGACAATAATTCTTAGTTTCAGGAAATGAGTCCCAAGATACACTAGATTCTCACCTGGGCACATAGAGGAACTGAAGGACTCAAAGGTGGAGGTTGGGTTAAAAAATGAAAAAGCAAACACATTTCCTACAAAGCGACAATGCATGGACAGATGGCAAACTTCTCAACAGCTACTATAGAAATTAGAAGACAAGGAAATATGGTCTTCATGGTTCTTAGCGGAAGTATCCGGCCACATAGACCATAACCCCCAACTAATCCATCCTTTGACATGGGAGGTGACTTGAACTAATAACCAGTATACAGTCAGCTCTGGCTTAGATTTACCCAAATCCTTGCAAACTTTTTAGACAACTGGAGAAATGTGAATATAGACTGCATTAGATGGTATAATGAATTATTGTTATTTTTAGTGATATAGTGGTTAAGTAGATGTCTTTAATTTCATAAGACAAGTACTCAAGACTATTAGGTGAAATGTCATGATGTTGGGCCGGGTGTGGTGGCTCACACCTGTAATCCCAGCACTTTGGGAGGCCAAGGTGGGCAGATTGCAATAACAGGAGTTCAAGACCAGTCCGGCCAATATGGTGAAACCCTGTCTCTAAAGAAATGTCATGATGTTACAGCATATTTGGGGTGTCGATTTTCTTCCTGGAAACCTTTATGGTTGGTGGCACCTTTGGAGCCTTTGCCTGGGTTCTTGTCCCACTACCAGGTACGCAGACAAGCAAAGGGTGAAGAAGATCAAGAGGAGCTTTATTTAGTGTTAGAACAGCTCAGAGGAGACCCACAGTGGATAGCTCCTCTCTATAGATACATTGTTCTGTTGAGTGCTCAGCTCTCAGCAAAGAAGGCCCTGGAGAGGGTAGCTCCTTTCTGCCCATGGTCATCTGCTGCCTTCACCAGAGAGGAGGCCTTGGAGAGAGTGGCTCCCCTCCACAGGCAGGTCATTCAGATGCCTCCACAGTCCTCTGAAGGTCTCAGCAGAGAGGATAGCTTCTCTCTGCAGCTGGTCATTCTGTTGACTCTGTCCTCTGCCCTGCTCTGGCTGAGTCTAGGGCTTTTATGGCCCCTCAGCCTCCTGAGTAGCTGGGACTACAGGCACTCGCCACCATGGCTGGCTAATTTTTGTATTTTTAGTGGAGACGGATTTCACCATGTTAGCCAGGCTAGTCTCAGACTTCTGACCTCAGGTGATTCACCCACCTTGGCCTCCCAAAGTGCTGAGATTACAGGCATGAGCCACCATGCCTGGCCTATCTCTTGTTTATTGTCCATCATGTGGAAGTCCTATCTAGGAAAAAAAAAATAGAAAATCATTCATCAAGGATACAATCTTAGCATAGAACTTAGTGCAAGAATGCTCATGTACCAGGTGGATCAGCAGGTGTCTTCCAGCCCACCCCAGTGGCTCATGGCTGTAAACCCAGCACTTTGGGAAGCTGAGGGAGAATCACTTGAGGCCAGGAGTTTGAGACCAGCCTGGGCAATACAGTGAGGCCTCATCTTTAAAAAAAAAATAGCCAGGTATGATGGCACATGCCTGTAGTCCCAGCTATTAGGGGGGCTGAGGTGGGAGGACCTCTTGAGCTGGGAGGTGGAGGTTGTAGTGAGCCAAGATGGCGCCATTGTACTCTAGCCTGGGTGACAGAGCCAGACTCTGTCTCAGAAAAAAGTATTTGATGTGAATATTGCATCACCTTTGATATGATCAGTCAATAATGTTTGATATGAATCCAATGAAAACTTTGGATCTAATTTACAGTTAATAGAAAATATAGAAGAAAGAGGAATGTGCTAACCAATACCACAAGGAAGCAGTCTGACCAGGAGGTGGGAAAGTCTGCAGGACAGCCAACCCTGTCTCTTCAGCCAATAAGCGCCGTGAAAAAAAAGGGCTGTAGAAGGCTGAAAGAGACTAACGGGCATACTAAATAAACTGGCAGTATGTGGTTCTGGATTGGATCTGAGCTGAAAAACCAAACACTATTGGGATAACTGGAAAACTTTGAATATGGGATGGATATTAGATGATATTAAGAAATTATTTTGCTACGCTTAGTTGACTAAGAAAAAGTTATTTTTTAAATATAGACACATTATATTTAAGGTTGGAATATCAAAACGTCTAACATTTTGGATTTTTAAAATAAAAGCAAGTTAAAAAATGTTTTAAATGCAAGTGAAATCAAGTTATTTTTATTCAAAGAAAAACTAAGAGTTTATCACCTACACAGCCTCAATGAGGGGTTTCTAAGAGATCCATTTCAAGATGAAGAAAACTGAACACTAAGATGCAGGAAAGAGGAGTCTACAAACCGATCAGTAAGAACTTGAGTACATTTAAACGGGAGATGACTCTGCAAAGCAATAATAATAATCACATCAGGGAGAGAGATCCAAGATGGCCGATTACTAGCAGCTCAGGATTGTAGCTCCCAGAGAAAGCGCACAGAAAGAGAGGACGCCACACTTTCAGATGAATTTTTGTTGCCCACGGACTAGGAGATTCACAGTGGAGGAGCCCCATGGGTTGCCAGCGCGACTCTTGTGGCCGGCTTGGTGGTTTTGCCGACGCTTTGGCGCAGCGGTTCTTGGTGCAGAGTAAATGGGACTGGGTCCCCTTTTGGTCGACGTTTGGAGCTCCGGGAAGGCAGAGTTGCCCATTTACCTGATTGAAAAAGGGATTCAAGAGGGAAGCCAGACCGGAGATTCCTGAGCAGAAAAGCACCACGAATCTTAATGCCGCTGTTTTGGCCAGCGCAGTGGGTTGCTCAGATTTCGGCGCTGGGAATCAACAAGTTGGACGTCCACTCAGAGACCTAATTTGAAAGTTGGCAATTACAAAGACAATAGGTGGATAAACTCACAATGATGGGAAGAAACCAGCGTAAAAAGGTTGAGAAATACCAGAATTAGAATGCCTCTTCTTCTACAGGGGATCATAGTTCCTCATCATCAAGGGAACAAGGCCTGATGGAGAACGAGTGCATTCCATTAACAGATTTAGGCTTCAGACGGTGGATAATAAGGAACTTTTGTGAGCTAAAAGAACATGTTTTAATCCAATGTAAAGAAACTAAGAACTTTAAAAAAAAGGTTTAACGAAATGCTAATGAGAATAGAAAATTTAGAAACGAAAATAAGTGAATTAATGGAACCGAAGAATGCAATACGAGAACTTCGTGAAGTATGCACAGGTTTTAACAGTCAAATTGATCAAGCAGAAGAAAGGATATCAGAGGTCAAAGACCTACTTAATGAAATAAAAAGAGAAGACAAAATTCGAGAAGAAAGGCTAAAAAGGAATGAGCAAAGTCTCCAAGAAATATGGGACTATGTGAAAAGACCTAATTTATGACTGATAGGTGTACCTGAATGTCATCAAGAGAATGAATCCAAGTTGGAAAATACTCTTCAAGACATTATTCAGGAAAACTTTCCTAACCTAGAAAGGCAGGACAATACTCAACTCCAGGTAATACAGAGAACACCACAAACATATTCCTCAAGTAGAGCAACCCCAAGACACATAATCGCTAGATTCACTAGGGTTTAAATAAAGGAGAAAATTCTGAGGGCAGCTAGAGAGAAAGGTCAGGTTACCCATAAAGAGAAGCCTATCAGACTTACAGCAGATCTCTCAGCAGAGACCCTGCAATCTAGAGGAGAGTGGGGGTCAATATTCAATATCCTCAAAGAAAAGAATTTTCAACCCAGAATCTCATATCCAGCCAAACTAAGCTTCATAAATGAGGGAAAAATAAAATATTTCATGAACAAACAAGCAATCAGAGATTTCATCACCATCAGGCCTGCTTTACAAGAGCTTCTGACAGAAGCACTACACACAGAAAGGAACAACCAGTATCAGTCATCCCCAAAACTTACCAAAACATAAAGAGCATCTCCATAATGAAGAATTTACATCAACTAATGGGCAAAATAGCCAGCTAGCGTTAAATTACAATATTCAACTCACAAATATTAATATTAATCTTAAATTTAAATGGATTCAATGCCCCAATTAAAGACACAGGCAAATGGAATAAAAAGTTAAAATCTATTGGTATGTTGTATCCAGATCTAACTCACAACGATACACAAAGACTCAAAATAAAGGGATGGAGGAAGATTTATCAATTAAATGGAGAGAGAGAAAAAAAAAAAACAGGAGTTGTAACTTTTGTCTCGACAAAATAGACTTTAATAGTAACAAAGACCAAAAGAAACAAAGAAGGACATATAATGGTAAAAGGATCATGCAACGACAGGAGTTAATGATTATAAATATATAAGTACCCAATATAGGAGTGCCCAGATACATAAGACAAGTTCTTAATGACTTATAAAGAGATTTGGACTCCCGCACAATAATAGCGGGAGATTTTGATATCACAATGTTAATATTTGATGGATCAATCAGATAGAAAATTAATAGGGCTGTCTATGATTTGAATTTAGACCTGGAATAAGTAAACTCAGGGAATATTTATAGAATTCTCCACCCCAGGTCTACAAAACATACATTTTTCTCAGTATCGTATTACACCTATTCTGAAAGTGACTATATAATTGGATGTAAATTACTCTTCAGTATTTGCATAGCATCTCACAGACTTAAATGAAATATTGCTTGGCTGTTTGTTTGTTATTTTCTTCCCTTATTCCTTCCTGTCTCTGTTGTTAAGTACAATTATTGGCATAAAAGAGGTTTTTAGTACCTTTTTAAGATTGCATTCCAGCCTGGGCAATAGAGCAAGAATCCTGTTCTCGCTCCCCCTTTTTCTTTCTCCTTCTTTCTTTCTTTCAAAATAATAATAATAATAATCACATCAATCTGCAGCATGTAACATAAGACACAGTAAAATGCTGGACATCAGATGGAAGGGAGGTGGTCAGTGTGGTAGCATTCAGAGGCCTTTGATCTTCTGAAAGAAGGCACCAAAGTTAATCAACTTTACACTCTGTCAAGTGTGCATATTAAATATCAAAGATGTTTACTAACAGAATAGAAATAGAAAGTTTAACGTCAAACCAGTAAAGAAAAAAAAATAAAACATAATAATTGCAAAGTATTATCACGAGGTCAGGAGTTTGAGACCAGCCCGGCCAACATGGTGAAACCTTGACTCTACTAAAAATACAAAAATTAGCTGAGCATGGTGGTTGGTACCTGTAATCCCAGCTACTCAGGAGGCTGAGGCAGGTGAATCGCTTGAACCTGGGCGGCAGAGATTGCAGTGAGCCGAGATTGCGCTACTGCACTCCAGCCTGGGCAACAGAGTAAGATTCCGTCTCAAAAAAGCAAACAAACAAAAAAAAAAAGAGAGAAAGCATTATTAAAATGACGAGGATCTCTACATGATCCTAGAAGATAAAATTCTTAAAGAAAATTTAACAATTCTAAGTTTTATATGTATGTATAAAATAATGTAATCAATTACTATAAGAAGAAAAACTGACAGAATTATAGGGAAAAATCTATAATTCCCAATGATAGCAGGATATTTTAACATATCTCTCAGTAATTTCTAGATCAACCAAACAAATTTAGTAAGAAATATTGGCATGCCATAAATTAGCAATCTAACACACATTAATTAGATAATTCATATTCCTGTCAAGTACATATAAGACATTTATAGAAACAGCAAAAACTTATTACATACACAGGACATAAAATAAGTCTGTGTGTGTGTGTGTGTGTTTTTTTTTGTGTGTGTGTGTGTGTGTGTGTTTGTGTGTGTGTGTAATAGAGTTTCTCTCTTGTCACCCAAGCTGGCCTGCAATGGTGC